CTGTAACATTCCTAGTAGTAATGTGTCACATTATCTTCTTTAACTGCTATAACATTCCTAGTAGTAATATGTCACATTATCTTCTTTAACTGCTGTAACATTCCTAGTAGTAATGTGTCACATTGTCTTCTCTAACTGCTATAACATTCCTAGTAGGAATGTGTCACATTGTCTTCTCTAACTGCTGTAACATTCCTAGTAGTAATGTGTCACATTACCTTCTCTAACTGCTATAACATTCCTAGTAGTAATGTGTCACATTATTTTCTTTAACTGCTGTAACATTCTTAGTAGTAATGTGTCACATTGTCTTCTCTAACTGCTATAACATTCCTAGTAGTAATGTGTCACATTGTCTTCTCTAACTCCTACACATGTTATTTTAAGACAGTTAGTTGCTAGTTATATATATAGGATAATTCATTCTAAATGTTTTGTCACTTTAGGTAACATCAATGGACGTAAATCGTACCTGCTGTCAGTGTAACCACTTAACTAGCTTTGGAAGCGGTTTTTTTGTTGCTCCCAACACTGTTGACTTTGATTATGTGTTTGCTAATGCCAACTTTGCTGATAACCTTACCATCTATATCACGCTGATCGTCACATTTTCCATCTACATCATCCTGATGATTTGGGCACATTGGAAGGATAAGAAAGATGTAGAGAAGGTGGGCATTATTGTGGCACCAGCTGTTTTAAACTCTTGTTTTTTTGTGATAATCTTGAATATTTGACACGTGGGACGAGGTTCTTTATTAATACGTTATGATGTACGTTGTCACATGGGCCTAGGTTTTTTTAGTTAACATGTTATTATGTATAATATGGGCAACTGTTTATTTTGTATTTGATATCTTACTATGTGTAATAAATCTACAACACTCGTGTTTCTTACTTCTCCTTTTCAGAACAGTTCACTTAGGCAATAGTGAACATCCGAAGTGACGGAGCTTATGTTTCTAATTCCTTCTTACTTAACATTTTCTGTTATTAAAATTAGATAATTATCTTTAAAAAATGTTCCTCAATTAAACACCAGTATTTATGTTTAGCTAACAGTATAGTTAACAAGCAGTGAAAAAACCAGTATTTATGTTTAGCTAACAATATTGTTAACAAACAGTTAAAAACCAGTATTTATGTTTAGCTAACAGTATAGTTAACAAGCAGTGAAAAACCAATATTTATGTTTAGCTAACAGTATAGTCAACAAGCAGTGAAAAAACCAATATTTATGTTTAGCTAACAATATTGTTAACAAGCAGTTAAAAAACCAGTATTTATGTTTAGCTAACAGTATAGTTAACAAGCAGTGAAAAACCAATATTTATGTTTAGTTAACAGTATTGTTGACAAGCAGTTAAAAAACCAGTATTTATGTTTAGCTAACAGTATATTTAACAAGTAGTGAAAAACCAGTATTTATGTTTAGCTAACAGTATTGTTAACAAGCAGTTAAAAAACCAGTATTTATGTTTAGCTAACAGTATATTTAACAAGTAGTGAAAAACCAGTATTTATGTTTAGCTAACAGTATTGTTGACAAGCAGTTAAAAATTAGTACTTATGTTTAGCTAACAGTATTGTTAACAACCTGTTAAAATCTAGTACTTATGTTTAGCTAACAGTATTGTTAAGAAGCAGTTAAAAACCAGTACTTATGTTTATCTAATGGTATTGTTAAAAAGCAGTTAAAAACCAGTACTTATGTTTATCTAATGGTATTGTTAAAAAGCAGTTAAAAACCAGTACTTATGTTTAGCTAACAGTATTGTTAACAACCTGTTAAAATCTAGTACTTATGTTTAGCTAACAGTATTGTTAAAAAGCAGTTAAAAACCAGTACTTATGTTTATCTAATGGTATTGTTAAAAAGCAGTTAAAAACCAGTACTTATGTTTAGCTAACAGTATTGTTAAAAAGCAGTTAAAAAAACAGTACTTATGTTTATCTAATGGTATTGTTAAAAAGCAGTTAAAAACCAGTACTTATGTTTAGCTAACAGTATTGTTAACAAGTGTTAAAGGTGTTCAACAATCACAACAATCCTGACTCCACAAATAATAAACGTAATGATTCTGTATATATGTTAAAGATTTCTTTCTCACCAGAGACAAAGAAAATAAGTTTTTAACATATATAAATAAACAGTTGGTCCCCTGTATAATATCAAATAATGAATTCGACAGAACATGCCTAAATTAATTTATGTTACTATATGGCGAAGTAAAGCTACTCAAAACTCCATAGATATTACACTTAGTTTTGAACGAACAATTAAGTTTTTGGATAGTAACAGCTAGTAGGTTCTAAGTGTTAAAAAATTACAACTTATTAAAACTTATAGAGATTATTAAAATATATCATAGTGCTGGAACTAAGTATTAAAATAAGAAGCCAAATGTAATACTGGGTTATGAATATTAATAAAATACAAGCTGCTATTGAAACAGTTTATTGTTTGATTGGATTTTCTTTAAATTATTGTTTCATCTTCGCTTAGCTTGGTGCAGCTCCACTCCCGGATAATGATGTCTGTGACAAATATTTGTATGAGATCATGGTTTTCGCGGGTCATCAAAATAATGCAGGGACAAAAACAAAGGTATGTTTCTACTCAGAACCTTCTGAGAGAATGTTTTAGTTACTCCAAGTTAAATCAATTTTGATCCGTGACAAATATTTGTATGAGATCATGGTTTTCACGGGTCATCAAAATAATGCAGGGACAAAATCAAAGGTGTGTTTCTACTCAGAACCTTCTGAAAGAATGTTTTAGTTACTCCAAGTTAAATCAATTTTGATCCGTGACAAATATTTGTATGAGATCATGGTTTTCACGGGTCATCAAAATAATGCAGGGACAAAATCAAAGGTATGTTT